TCGCACCTACGACAACAGCAGCAGTGGACCCGATTGGGAGTAGGGGCTTATGAGCCGACTTCGTCCTCAAACCCAGCCTCGTTAGGCAGGTCCACGACCTGGATAGCGACTTCAGTGCCGTCCTTGAGAGTGCCCTTGTAGACACTACCATAGCTACCCGACCCTAACTGGGCAGAATCGTCGAAGTTGTTGGTGGCTTCAATAAGCTCGGCATAGGAGTACTCCAGTGATATCTGATTAAGGTTACCTGAGGAATAAGGCTAGCTGCTGCTGCTGTCTGTTGCTGCCCATCGTACTATCCGAATGGTATCGTTTCTCATGTCCATTGGAAGTCCTCCCCCCTGTTGATGATGATGAGGAGGAGTCCTCTGCGACTGGCATTCGGCCGGACCCTTTGCTGTCGAGTCTTGGGGGGCTCTCCTGTACAGCTGGCAGGCTGTGGAAAGCATCCATTTACACGAGACTATTGCCTCCTGGCTGAGCAAGGACTCATACGCTGGAGAGCCGACGATCTCAGTGATGTGGGTTGAGGGATTCACAATAGGTTAGCTCTGACTTCCTTGCCGACCTACTTTGAATCTTGCACAGTCAACCTAAAGATACCCCTAACCCCCACATAAGGTATACGTCATTCCTTGTAGACTAAGCACTGCTCCTCAAACTAATACAGTCCTTACCCTCGGAACAACGGACGTTCACTACTCACCTACGAAAGCTTAGAAACGTCGCTGTTTGAAAGTGAGTTCAAACATCACGTACCCGGAACTTTTCACACAGTTTATAATCGTCCATCAATGCTTATACCCATTGCATGCATGATCGTAGGATTTCCTGCAGCCAAGACTCCTCCTTTTCCTCCCTTATGGAGTAACCCTCTCCGCGACTGCCCTCACTCTCTCAGATACCTCCGTCGCATGCTCTACAACAATCAGATGAATTTGGAATACAACTTCTCCCGAATGGTGTATGGAATCTGCATAGCCCCTAGGAACTACTACTACTACTACTACTACTACTACTACCACTATTACTGCCTAGTTCAATTTGAAATTGTTACTTCCTTACTAGGATTCGAGTAGCTTACTTCCTCTTCCATACGCAGCGCCCAAGTCTTCCTCTACCGCGCCGGAGTTCTACTAATAATCAGGGTCCCCGTGCCTCAGATGCTTGGGGTGGCCTTCACGACCATGCATACCAACTTGAGCATGAAATTTTTCGACGTCCAGAGGTCCCCTCTGTACTACTACTATTCGCTACTATTCATACCGTACCTTTCATTGGTCCCCTGAGGTCGTGTTCAGTCTGCGATGCTATCAAAGGCTGGCCCTATTTCATCATGCTACTCCTAAGTCCCCCACATTTTAACAACAATCGGTTCGGAGGCTCTCTAGCGAAAGTAACAAACCTTCCTGTTTCGAGATGCTCACCAGCATTTGTCAGCGTTGGCTGGATGTCCGGATGCACGATATGTATGTTCGACGAGCCCAGCGTGATATGTATCGGAGTAGAGCAGCTTACAAGCTCTTACAACTAGATGATAGATTCTCAATATTTCGGTATTGCCCTAGGCAGCAGGGAGGTGCCGTAGTAGTAGTACTGGTCTCAGGAAGAATCAACGTGTAGTGGATTTGGGCTGTTACTCTGGGGGATGGTCACAAGTGGCATTGAAGAGGACGAGAGTTGGCGAGTCAAATAGTATGGTAGTAGGAGTTGACAAGGTTCGCATGGACGCACTACAAATGCATACCTTCGTCCAAGGGGATGTAAGGCGGTCCTCGTTCAAGCCTTCAACGTCAGTCGCTGTAGATAACCGAACCGTCTACTATAGATGCAGTGAAGAGAGCACTTGGAGAAAATAAGAAGGCTCACGTCCTTCTCAGCGACATGGCCCCTAACGTTACTGGCAGAAGAGCTGATGACCACCTTGAGATCACTGAGTTGAACATTAAGGTTTGCACATGTACCCCTCAGCTGCTCAAACACGATATAATATGCAGACGATTGATGTCATGGAGAGCGTCCTTGGCCTTAAGGGCTGGCTTGTGATGAAAACCTTTTATGGACCGGAAACTCAGAAGTTGAGAACATTCTTGGAATCTCGCTTCTACAAGGTGAAGAAATTCTGCTCCCTGCGTCCTACTAGGGGTAAGGTCTCTGGCAGGTTCGTGCGTGCAGACCCCATGCTACGCGACCAGAGTCGAGGGAGGTAGTGATTGGTGAAGGTGACATTCTAGACTACCATGGGCTCGTGGTTAGGTTTATTTAATTGCAAGTGGCTATCGCGGGAGAGGGGTGCCTATAGCCTCTGAAGTGAACGAGCGTGCCCGCGTCCGGAAAGAAGGATGGGTTCTCGAACAGCCGCCGAAGGTCAGTCAGCGTCCTCTCTTTCCCTTTGAAGAAGCTTCGTGTAGGTACGGATACCGCAAAATGAGGCCGGTGCAATACGGCAAGAGGAGGAACTCGAGAGACGAGCCAAAACGTCTGCTGGTGTTATGCCCGAGGAGGTTAGCAGTCGGCCACGGCGTATGCCACGGATAAAGAAGCGATGATACGCATGTTTCTGCATTCATGAGTTTCCGTGCAGTGCATTATTAGTTGTGTGAGACAGTTGTATCACGACTCCGGATCGGAGGGTCGGAAAGTCATGATGACTTAGTCATCAGAGAACATTACGAAGGGAGCTCCATTAATCTAAGGACTCATCTCGCGAAGAGGTTCTCCATTACAAAGTGTTTTAGTTAGAAATCAATCAGTTACCGATCACTCATTTGCAGACCACGAATTTCCCCGTACTTGGAGCTTCAGTATTTAACCCGACAATATAGTCATCGAAATGGATATATACACCCCTTCACATAACTTATGTGGAGAGAACTTTTCACCAGTCTTCGACTTCTCACTAACTACGAAGAGTTAGGCCCTGAAACTTGGAGGTCATATCAGGTGAAGCATAAGTACATATCTCCTTGAGCCGCAAGATGATACTCGTTGTGGTGGTTGTGCACGAGTCAAAAAACCAGGAATGCTAAGAATATGTGGAGGGGTGTAGTTCTCGGTGGAGAAGCGATCTCGATGGGACTCTAACCCACAATCTTTGGTTCCGAAGACCAACGCCTTATTCATTAGGCCACGAGACCAATGAGTTTGAGATTTATCCCACTATCTCGTCACTATGCGCAACACTGACTTAACGGCACACATGATTTCGCACTCGACACGCTGAATAGATCACAAATCTCTGGCTCCTCATAGAGGGGCCCCCATTACATAGTGTTCTAAATGAGGTCAATTCATTGGAGATCGCTTGTTGGCAGACCAACAATCTTCTTGTACCCTTAGCCTCAGCATGTATCCCGACGAGTCACAAGGGTATACAATCAACATCGACATCTGTACGGCCAGTGGCATCCGTATATGGGCGCTTCCCGGCACGGAGACGATCTTGGTGGGACTCGAACCCACAATCTTTGGTTCCGAAGACCAACGGCTTATCCATTAGGCCACGAGACCAGTAAATTTGAGATTTGTCCCACCATCTCTGCCCCCCATTGACTTCATGGCACACATGGTGTCCCATCCGACACGCTGAATAGATCGCAAAACTCTCGCTCCTCATAGAGGGGCCTCCAATACATAGTGTTCTCAAAGGGGTCAATTCATTGGAGATCGCTTGTTGGCAGACCAACGATCTTCTTGTACCGTTAGCTTCAGCATGTATTCCGACGAGTCACAAGGGTGTACAATCAACATCGACATCTGTACGGCCAGTGGCATCCGTATATGCACACTTTTCGGCTTGAAGACGATCTCGGTGGGACTCGAACCCACAACCTTTGGTTCCGAAGACCAACGCCTTATCCATTAGGCCACGAGACCAACGAATTTAAGATTTATCCCACTATCTCGTCACTATGCCCAACACTGACTTAACGGCACACATGAGTTCGCATCCGACACGCTGAATAGATCACAAAACTCTTGCTCCTTATAGAGGGGCCTCCATTACATAGTGTTCTTAAAGGGGTCAATTCATTGGAGATCGCTTGTTGGCAGACCAACAATCTTCTTGTACCCTTAGCCTCAGCATGTATCCCGACGAGTCACAAGGGTATACAATCAATATCGACATCTGTACGGCCAGTGGCATCCGTATATGGGAGCTTCCCGGCGTGGAGACGATCTCGATGGGACTCGAACCCATAGTCTTTGGTTCCGAAGACCAACGCCTCATCCATTAGGCCGCGAGACCAGTAAATTTGAGATTTATCCCACCATCTCTGCGCCCCATTGACTTCATGGCACACATGGTTTCCCATCTGACACGCTGAGTAGATCGCAAAACTCTCGCTCCTCATAGAGGGGCCTCCAATACATAGTGTTCTCAAAGGGGTCAATTCATTGGAGATCGCTCAAAGCTGCACTACGTGTCGACAAACCCCATCCCCGAAACTCAACTCCCTAATCCGTGAGATTCGAAACTGGTGTTAAGTTGCCTCGGAGTATTGGGAATTGGGCGCGCGCTATCGACAGCTATGAAACCGTGAGTTCTTCCACTCAGGTTTCAACATGTATAACGGCTCGCCAGCCGTCCGAATTCATCACAAGCCGTCGATAGTGGCACGCTGCAAGAATAGGCAAACGTTCAGAACTGCCCAAAACTGTACTCGATTGCAGGATCTCCATCCGATCAAGGATTTGGAGTTCTGGACGCTGCCTATTCAAGCCTCCAAAACAACCTATTTTATGGGATGGGAGGGTTGGGTGAACTCAGGTCTAGCCCCCATAACACTGCATATGTCCACCCCACCAGATCCTACCTCACTCCGTTACCGCTTTGACCTTGCCCAATAAATTGACCTACATTCAAAGCTGCACTACGTGTCGACAAACCCCACCCCCGAAACTCAACTCCCTAATCCGTGAGATTCGAAACTGGTGTTAAGTTGCCTCGGAGTATTGGGAATTGGGCGCGCGCTATCGACAGCTATGAAACCGTGAGTTCTTCCACTCAGGTTTCAACATGTATAACGGCTCGCCAGCCGTCCGAATTCATCACAAGCCGTCGATAGTGGCACGCTGCAAGAATAGGCAAACGTTCAGAACTGCCCAAAACTGTACTCGATTGCAGGATCTCCATCCGATCAAGGATTTGGAGTTCTGGACGCTGCCTATTCAAGCCTCCCCTTACCAATTCCCAATATAAGTATTCAGACTTTCCGTTTGGCAACTTATCTTACAAATTTTTGGCTTACAACTGTTCCATCTTCATTCCAACGAACCCATTATCATCATTGTAAGCATTCTTTCTACTCTTCTGTATTCTCGCCTATGACGCGTACGTCTGCTAGCCATCGTTGCCTGGTTGTCACTGGTTTACATCTCCCTGAAACTCCTTTCAAGTCCAACCTCGTGGACCTGTGATGGATCCACCTGCCTAAAACTATGTTCTGCTATCCATTCTAAGTTCCATTTATCCGACGTTCACGGATACGTAACGCACGTATCATATGTTCTTTCAACATCTCCTCCAGCTTGCGAGAATAAATCATCTTCGTTCCGTTCGGAACTACCCTCGAAAGGTCAGACCCAAGAATGTTCTTCGGAAGAACATCTCAAGTTCCCTCGTCCCGTGCGCGGGACACCAATCCATACCACATACCACATTTTCCTCTGAGGTCACATCCTATTTATTTCCCACTAGGAAATTCATAGTCAACGCATTTTCCGTTTTCGGATCTCAGTCTGGGAGCCTCGGAAAATTCTCAGATCTTGACAATCACAAATACCTTCAAGGTATTACCTTGTAACTTTCTTTTACCTAATTGATCGAGTCTCGATTCGAGACTCCGCTTTTCCACCTGATTGGTCTCCGTGACATCATGCATTCTTTCTCCTCTAATAGAATCCTCTTCAGAGTCCTCATAAGTCCTCAGAAACCTCATCGCACTCGCGTATTGGGATACTGTATCTCCCACTAGGGATGGCCCGGGGCCACTGGCCCTGGGCCGGAACTTCCGACTCGCGGAGCGCTCCAACGAAGGGATTATGGTTCCTCCACTGAAACTGGGAAGCTGCAAGTTTCCTCGTGGTACGCTCATACTGTTGTCGGCTCGACAATGTCGGGCACTATCAACTATCGGCTATAATTTATCGCCCTTCCTCTTAACTTGCTAAGAATCATTCCTTGACAATGTGAAGCTCGCATCTTCCTCCCGCGAACCGATTCGGTTCGCGCTGCTGGAAGGCCTGCAGCTGACAGCGTGGCCACAGTGTGGCCTCTTCGATTGTTGGATCCTCCGAGATCGGGATGGCGAGTCGCCATTGGCGACAATCCCTACCCCAAAGTTCTCTGCCTATGTAGTTTGTCCATTGGACGGCATTCGACTCAAAAGGCGTATCCCATTATACACGGTTTGTCCTTCACCCTTGTTACAAGGTCCGTGTATCGACAAACTCACCTGTTTTTATTGGAATTCAAGTAACAGAAACATCCTATAATATGTCGCTTCAGCAACAAACTAGAACTTGTCTACCGTGAATCGACATCGTATTTACTCAGTGAATTTTACCGAGCCAATGCCGTACTCTAGGCTCCGTTGATCGAAACTTTCGAGTCGAAAGCTACATCTCGTCCTTGGCATCAGAAGTCAATCCTGCGAAGTGTGACACGTCACGTATAATGCCTCCGATCCCTCACGCCTTGGCGTCACCGCAACAGTTGCTGTGACAGAGGCGTCAGCTACGACAAAGCCTTTCAGCGACTCGTCGTCCCCATTCTCTGTCACGGTAATCGTTCGCCAGCAGTCCCTCCCGGATCCCCTGGAATTCGCGGCCTGGACGACTAATTAGATGATTGTCTGGTCCAAGTCGCCATTATCAGTTGATGCCGAGACCTAAACATCCCTTATTATCGACTCTTATTATCGTAGTCATTTGTTGCCTGTGGCTCATTCGATTTTCGCCGAAAATTTTTCGGTCTTATATTCCTATCCCTTCTTTTTCACTGGATTTCTAGACCGCTTGTGGATCCTAGCGAAAAGAGTCAACTCTCAGTTTTCATTGCCCTTTGCTCAACTCATAACTATACCCCAAATCGGGATTCCCGATTAACTGACTATGAAGGGCCTTCATTGAAGGCACACCTCCGTATTCTCTAAGGCAATTCACTGAACCAGCGGCGGATAAAGTCAGATTAGATCTGACTGTCTGGCTCCCTTTAGCAATCGCAGTAACACCTCCCGTAATGTACCTTGACTTGCCTGGCCGAAGTATCCATATCTACCCTTCGTCTCCCCTTTTACCAAAGGGACCCTTGCCAGCTTTACCCTTGCTGTTCCCGTTGGGCTCATCTGTTCCCAGCTGTACTA